GCGGCTTGGCCACACTGCAGAGGCATCTGGGGAGATCATGGCACTGGGAGTTTCCTTCACAATCCAGCCCACCCTGTGTGACCCTGGAGACGTGCGTGCGCGCGTGGGGACAGCATGGAGGAGGTGGGGGCTGTATCGCAGGAGGCAAATACTGCAGCCAAAGCGGCAGCTGTGAGCTCACCTCTGCGACGAGCCCCTTTAATGGAAAGGAGCCGCCTCCCAGCCCACAGATCATCACCTTGGTCTGCTGGTTTCCGTTTTTCCCAGGCAGACAGCTCTTTGGGAAGCCCTCCCCACCCTCCCGCGGGCTCCGGGACACACGTGGAGTGTGCGCAGACGCACGCGCGTGCGGGTGAGCCTGCGGCGACAGGGTGGACTGTATTTGTGAATCCGCTTGAGACCAGCCAGTACTCACCTGAACTGCATCTTTTACATGCTTTAAAGTTGACTGTCCAAGCCACAAGAATGACCCTTACTGATCTTGTACAATACAATGTTTTTTAACCCTTTAGGTACCATAGACTTTGTATAAAGTTTCGTTCACTCCATATACTGTGAGGAAGGGGGAAGGGAAGGAGAGCAGAGCTAATGGGTGGGGGGAAAAATCCTTTCTTAGGAAGGAACAGAGGGTAAGAAAGCCCCCTTGCTCCTCTACACCTGCACATGCAGCCTCACAGCACCCACCCTGCCACCCCTGTCTGGTGACACATGCTTTGCACTCTGAAAATTCCGAGTAGGAGAGTTGCCAAGGAGCCCTGGGAAGGTCACGGCTAGAAAGGGCAAACTAGCTTCCTCCAACCAGGAGATTCTGTTTTGGTTTTTTTTTTTTTTTACAATCTAAGTCTCTGGTACTTGAAGAGTTAAAACCCAGCTACTTCAAGAAGAAAAAGATACTTTACCTTTAGTTTAATGGATTTTACTTTGGTTATGATGCTCAGGAGGAGCCACCCTGACAGGGAGGTGGAGGGTGCTGTGCGGGAAGGCATGCGATGGAGGGGGGCTGCGGCATGCAGGCACATGCTCGCCAGCTGAGCCAGGAGGGGAAGGGCACCGAGAGGCTCGGCAGGCTGCGGGAGGACGGGGGAGACAAGATGCCATCGTGGTGTGAAACCGCCCAGCAAGAGACAGACAGACAGAGAGCGAGCGGGGAGCTGGTTTCACTGGGCTGCAATAGCATGCGAGGCAGGCAGACAGCAGAAGAGGAAAGAAAGAAGAGCCATGGAGGAGCTGAACGGAAAAGGAGCTGCAGAGGGAAGACACAAAAGCCTGTCCCGAGCCAGAAGGTCTGTGAGTCGAAGGATGTCGCCCGGACCAGGGAGAATTGACTCGTTCCTCCAACAGCCAGCCAGGAAAAAATGTTTCACCGTGTTACAGGACACTGACAGCTCCCAGCTGATGTTCTTAAGAGCATTAAATTAATGAAACTATCCCTACGAAAGCTGAGCTACAGAGAAATAAACCAGGCCTCATTCTGGGCAGGTGCCAAGTTAGAGAAAGCCCCAAAGCCTTCCCCTTCCCCGATCCCCTTCTCTTCACCCTTCAGGGAAAAATACTCAGCGTCACTAAGCCCTGCTGCCATCAGCTCCCACACCCCTCTTCCAGCCTGTTTTGTATCAAACCAGAAAGCACAAATCCCAGACCCTCTTTTCCTCCCATCCCCATGAACCTCAAGGAGGGAAACCCCTTGTAAAACAGAAGCAGAGTGTGGGTAAGTTTGACACTTCTTTTCCAGGTCCTTTCGGTTCATTTTCCCCTGCCCCCAGTGATGCTCCCTCTGACAGTACCACACTGGGATCAGAACCAGCAGATCTGCAGCAAAGTCAGGAAAGGATTTTCTTTCGATACGTAGAGAGGAGTAAGAAAAAAAAAAAATAAAAGGAAAAAAAAGGGGAAAAACATTTGAAGGCAAGAAGAAAACAAAATATCTTTGAATGGACTGGAAGCCTGAGAAAGCCCCAGTGAGGAATTCTGTCTATGCAGAAACGGACTCCCCTTTCCTCCCACTCCTGGGGGGAGAGAAAGAGAAGGAGAGAGACAGGGAAGAGAGAGAGAGAGACAGCAGGACGTGACAATTAAAACGGAAAGATGGGGCAGGAGCCCAGCCGCGAGCCCACGCTGCCCTCGTTAAGGACTCTGAGCGATGGGAGCAGGCGCCCGCTCTCCTCACACTGCTGACCAGA